TAGGAGATCGCCTCCACCGTGGTAACGACCTTTTTGTCGGTGAGGTCGAGCACCTCCCAGCCCTTGCTCTCCGGCGAGACGCCGAGTGGATCGCCCAGCGTGCCTTCGGCGCCAACTTCCCACCGCACTGCTGCTTGGGGACCATGATCTGCACCATGCAGCCCCACACGCGCCGGCGTGACGTCGGGCTTCTTGCCGTTCAGCAGCTGGTGCGGCGTCGTCCCTGGCAGCAATGTCGACCGCTCAAGGTGGTTGCGCACCTAGACGGCCTGTCACAGGGCGAGGTGCCACCTGTGGTGCTTCACGCCCATGTGAAGCAGCATCGTCCGCACGGCCTCGACGGCCGTGCGCATCTCCCGCTCAGCCATACCATTCTGGAAAGGAGTGCAGGTTAGGTCGTGGATGATCCCTTTGCCGTCGACAAAGTCGGTGAACGCCTTCTCCAGGAACTCACCTCTGCGGTGAGAGCAGAGCATCATCACCGACTTGTTGGTCTATCGCTCCACGACCGTCAACCACTTCTTGAACACACCAAGCACATCACTTATCTTGATGACCGGCCGCACCCACACATGGCGCGTCTTACGGTCCTTCAGCAGGATGAAGTAGAGGCTGCCATTCTTGGCGGCCACCCGGAATGGCCCACAGAGGTCGATGTGTATGACGGCCTCCTCGGCGTCCGAGCCCTTGTCAGGGAAGGCGTGCCGCGCCAGCTTGCCGTGGACGAAGGAGACACAAGCCAGGTTGGCCCCGGCCGACGGCTTCATGTCAAGGCCGGTGGCGACCTTGTGCTTCCCCGAGCTCTTGATCGTGTCGACGCCAACGTGCGTGAGCCTCGTATGCAACATGCCCGGCAACAACTTCGTAGCCAAGGCAATCGTCCTCAAAGACACCGTCTCCGTCGAAGTCATCGTCGACTTTGTTGAGCAGGGGCGAAGGTCGGTGCAGAGGACCCGGCCGGTGTAGCGCGCACGACCAAGCACGTTCCCCGCCGCCGAGACGAGTAGCATCTCATCGCCGTCGTCATGGAGCTTCACGCCGCTATCCTTCAGGTGGCGGCCCGACAGCAGGTTCGCCTACACTCCCGGGACATACAGCATTTTTGGGACGAGAATTTGCTTCTCGGCTTCCCCTTGCAGAGCGACGATGCCCCGGCCTTGGACGCCCTGGATCGAACCGTTGAAGTCGCGCACGTGGCTCATGTTGCTGCTCGTCTGCATGTCGACGAAGGTCTCCTTCGTCCCCATCAGGTGGTGAGAGCAGCCATTGTCGAGCAGCACCACCGTCGGGTTTGCCTGCACGGCGGCGGCGACCACCCTGTAATCCCCTCTCCCGCCTCTCGGCCCCGCTTGTCCCCTCCAGCCGTCGCGCACTCCCCCTCTGCCACACCCCTGCGCTTCGCCTTCGTGATGATGCTGAACAATAAGGACGACAACGTTTGCAGCGCCATCATGCTAGCGCATGCCCTCCGCGGTACAGGCCTCGCGCTGCCCCTTGCGCTGGTCGCCAGCGGCAGCAACGCTAACGGCAGCGGAGGCGCGGCGCAGCCCGCATAGGCGGAGCTGGTGGTGATGGTGTCCGCGGAGCTGAGCGCCGACAGCCGGAGAGGGCTTGAGGCAGCGGATGGCAGATAATGGAGATAGTGCGAATAAGGAGCCCGTTGGCAAATCCCGGTCGATACAGCGAGTATAACTTCAGGTATGCGCACGTGCGGGTGGGTGACGGCATAAGGAAGATGGTCAAGATGTGAGATGAAATGGGGGAAGGCGGAATCTTGATCGTGAAACCGAGATGAACTGTGGAGAGGAGAGGAGAGGGGTAGAGAACAAGGCTCTCTCACCCACCCATGATGTCTCCTCCATTGCTTTCCTCCCTCCCACTCCCTACCCTCCCCTGATTCCTCCTGGCGTGATTGCACCCCCACGGTAGCAATTTGCGGCTGTGGCAGTTGACAGAGTACAAGCGCGTCGTGTACATAGACTCGGACTTCCTGCCCTTCCGCTCCCTCAGCACCTCTTCCTCTTCCCTGAGCTCTTCGCGGGCGGCAACGATGACTTCCGATTCAACGGCGGCCTCATGGTCATCGAGCCCTCCCTCTGCACGTACGCGTTTCTCTCTGCCAACATCCGCTACCTGGTGTCGTACAACCATGATTTCAAGGTGCGAATGGCTAGTTGCTCTGGTGAGGAGATGCTCCATTCGTGGTTGCTTAGGGTTGGGGGTTGGCTGAATTGTATATGCCAATGCTCATCTGCACGCCAGCAATGTCTCTTACTTGGCTCGCATGCCTTGGCAGAAATGTCTTGGCTTAGTCCACAACTTAACTTCGCTAGGATGTGTCGTATTGTCTGATCTGAAACCATGCGAGGCCAAACAAAGACTTCTTGCCCTTCCACCTGCTCCCACTTCCCCACGTGCGCTGCTGCCTTGGTCCTGCCAGGGCTTTATAAACAACGCATACCCCTGGTGGCACCGCCTACCAGACTACAGCAACCTCCTCACAAGCCACTCCACGGCCACCGCTATCCCGACGGGGGCCTGGCCGCCCAGAATGCTCTCTTCGCATTTGACCCCCCGCAGATGCACACCATTCATTACCTTGGCTGGAAGCCCTGGGCATGTTTCCACGACTTTGACTGCAACCTGGCATCGTCGTTGTACGAACTCAAGTTTGTGAACGACGTTGCCTTCCGGCGGTGGTAGGCGGTGCATGACGGCATTGATGAGAGGCTGAAACCGTGGTGCTGGATGAGCGAGAAGCAGAAGCGGGTGATGTGGAGAGGCATGAAGAAGCGCAAGCAGGATGGAGTTGAACCGAAACGGAGGAACTACACAATTACTGACCCCAGAAAGGACTTGGTGCTGCCGTGGAAGGTCAATAGGACGAGAGAAGCAGGTTGGCTTGGAAAGCTCGGTCTTACGTAACCGTAACAGTGTATGTTCTGACACATTTCTGCTTGCGTGTACAACCCATGTACAGTACCCATAAGACAAGTGAGAGGGAATGGGAACTTGAATTCCTCAAACATAGATCACATCTCGTCTGGCACCTCTAGGAAAGCTGGAATCGTGCACACACCCAATCAGAAGGGTGTCTCACCAGCAGAAGCAGGTGGATACCCAAGATCAGACAGTATGGGTGAGGGAAGAGGAAGCAGGAAAGGATGTGGGGAAGGGAGAGAAGGTTGGGGGAGCACGGTTACATTATCTGTCCATGTCCGTTGGGCAGGGAGGGGTGACGAGGGTGTTGGCTCATGATAGACTGCCAGCCGCAGCACCACGCAGCACGTGACACTCCCCGCCTCAATTCACCTCACCCGATGGCTTTGGAGATGCCTTATCTCAAGGTAAGCAACCTCCCCCACGACACACAGCCCCATACTGCACGTCCTCCCCCCAGCACACCGCCCCATGCCCCTTGCCCCACATCGCCCCATGCCCCTCAACCTCTGGAGTTGTTAGCTAAATGTACCAATGTGCAATATTACAACCCAGACAGCACACTGAGCGATACTTCAAATCAGTACAAACGAAACAAGGTCTAAAAGGGTTGTGTGGTGTTCCTCCTCGCCCATCCAGCTTGTATTGCCTCGATCCAAGTGACACTCGCACCCTTCCTCTAAATCAACTGGAGCTACATTCTCACGGCGTTTGCCGTGGCTGCCAGTGCAGCGTTTCCCCCAGCATTGCCTCCTGCTCGCCCTGCAGCAAATGGCCTGTGCTGCACCTGCTGCTTATGCGTCATCGCATGTGCCTCCTCCACAGCCTTCAAACCAGCAGTGCCGCTCCCATTCACCCTGTTGACTGCATTGACTCCCTGGGCCCCCTTGGCTCTCGTTTTCTAGGCATGTCTTGCCTGCCACACACGTGCGCCCATGTGCCCTGCAGTAGCAGCCTGCGCAGTCCCCTTACCCCTGAATCCATACTTTCTTGTTCCCCTGCGGGACTGCTTTGACCTGTTGCCAGCCTTACTAGCAGATTCTCTCAACCATTGCTTGAAGCGGCCCCACAGCTTACCCATTTTTCCATATGACAACGTACTAGCAGCAGCACTCCCAGAACCAGCTGTGCCATAGTCCGCGTAATCCCCTGCACTGTAATCTCCACTATAGTCCCCTTCGTTGTAATCACCGTTATTGTCATCGCCTCCACCACTGTAGTCACCACCCCCATTGTCATCTCCGTCGTAGTCGCCATCACCACCGTTGCCATCCCCATTGCCGTCTCCACCCCCATAATCACCACCATCGCCATAATCACCGTAGTCCCCACCATAGTCTCCTCCGCTTCCACCCCCGTTACCACCGCCAGTGCCACCCCCAGTGCTGCCGCCAGTGCCACCCCCAGTGCCACCCCCAGTGCCGCCGCCAGTGCCTCCGCCAGTGCCGCCGCCAGTGCCGCCCCCAGTGCCGCCCCCAGTGCCGCCGCCAGTGATGTAAAGGACTCTCCTCTACTTTGCAGGAACTGGGAATTGTTCTAAGCAGTAGAGCACACTCTTGGCTTTCCAAGGAGCCGTAGAACACGTAATTCGCCCAAGTATCGGCTGAGATACGGCTTTCAACGTGCTAGGTATTGCTCTAAGATTGAAGGATAGAAAGTCTCTGGATTTTGTGTCGAGTTGAACTGTGTATAGAAAACTCTGATTTTCAGTATATCATGCATACAAAGCAATCACAATATATAGCTACTCAAAACATCGAGTCGCGCATGTAACATACGAGATGCACCGAGAACATTCGCGTAACAATTCGAAGGGGTGAAATTCGGCACCCGAATTTCACCGAACCGAATTCTTCCTTAGTCTCGATCCTTCTTGTGTTGCCATGTGGCACCAATTGAGTGGGTCTTCCGAAGTCAACCCACACACTTCGTGAAACCTGCAGATCTCTCAAGCGGTGAGCACCGAAACACATTCGGTGGGTTGGGGGCATATCAATTGCCCCACCACCGTTTGCTTCTAACTCACGCGACCTCCAACACTCCCCCTTGCACCCAACCCACTAGGTGTGCAATCCAACATGCTCGTAGCATGCACGGGACGGATCTTTAGGGGGTAGTTCCATGAGAGGATCCATGTGTTCATCATCACCCATGGTTGCGAAGCAAAATGCCGCCCCCTCCTTATCCAACTTCCCAACGGCTACCGTAGCATAGTCGGCGTACTTGGAGGGAGGACGAACCTCACGACGCTCGCGGGTCAAGGCCAATGGTAGGGAGGAAGGTGTGGAGGTAGTTGCCGCCTCGGTAGGTGACACCTCCACGACATCATCAACGCTCTCCTCGTTGTTCTCTCCCCCTCCATCGGCTTCCTTCTCCACTTGAGGTGGAGTCTCACTCTCTTCAACCTCCTCTCGTGGCGGAAGGATGAAAGTGAGTTGTTGAGTGGGTTTCTCCTTCGACGGGAACTTGTCTTCATCGAAGACCACGTCCCGAGACGTGACGACACGCTTTTCACCCAAGTCCCACACTCGCCATGCACGCTCGTTTGGCGCAACTCCCAAGAAGATCGCCGCACGAGCTTTCGGTTGCAACTTGTGGCGAAGAGGATCCGGTATATGGTAGTAGCAAAGGCACCCAAAGGTGCGTAGGCGGGATAGGTTCGGCTTCGTTCCGGTCCATGCTTCGAACGGATTCATTCCCGGTAGCACCTTTGTCGGCACACGATTACGAATCCATGCCGCTAGCGCACTCGCCTCGCCCCACCACTCTTTCCCAAGCTTGGAGTGTTGAAGAAGAGAACGAACGGCTTCCACCAACGTGCGATTAAGCCGCTCCGCCGCTCCATTTTGTTGGGGTGTGTAGGGTGTTGTGACGTCGTGCTTAATGCCCTTGCACTTCATCCATTTCTCGAGCTCCGCATTCACGAATTCGCCACCACCATCGGTGCGAATACACTTGATCCGCTTCTTGTCATCGTCGCAAACTTCGAGCGCCCACTCTTGAATCGCCTTGACCGCATCTCCCTTAGCCTTCAAAAGTCGGGTCCAACACATCCGCGTCGCGTCGTCGAGCATCACTAAGAGGAACCGCGCTCCTCCCTTTGATGCATGCCGCATCGGTCCACACACGTCCATGTGAACAAGTGCAAGCGGGTCCTTAGCGAGGGGTGACGTTCGGCTACCGAATGGCTTGCGAGCCATTTTTCCTTCGACACACGCCGCGCACACGCCCTTCTCGTCATCGCCGGCGATCACGTCGACTCCCTTCGCAAGTCCTTTGTTGGCCAACTCCTTGACCGAGTCGCAGTTGGCGTGCGCAAGCCGATTATGCCACGCCTTGAGAGTCGCCTTGGAGCCTTGCGCCACGTTGGATGAAGCCGCTCTCGGGTACGTCTTGAGTTGGTAGATATCTCCGTTGAGAACACCTTGCGCGAATTGCTCCCCCTTCCAAAAGAGGTTCATTTTTGCACCGTCGATCGTGGCGATCACTCCCTTCTTCGCAAGTTGCGGGACGGATAGAAGGTTCACCTTCACCCCCGGGACGTGAAACACGTTCGTCACGTCCACCGGACCGCTATCGACGCACTCGGCGTCGCTCCTCAACAACATTGGCGCTCCGGGAGACGTCACGAGCATTGCCGCCGCCAGTGCCGCCCCCAGTGCCGTCCCCAGTGCCGCCGCCAGTGCCGCCGCCAGTGCCGCCGCCAGTGCCGCCCCCAGTGCCGCCCCCAGTGCCGCCGCCAGTGCCGCCACCAGTGCCACCCCCAGTGCCGCCCCCAGTGCCGCCCCCAGTGCCGCCCCCTGTGCCGCCACCAGTGCCGCCGCCCGTGCCGCCCCCAGTACCGCCCCCAGTTGAACCCGTGCAGCTGAAGTCCACATCTGCCTGGCCACTGCAAGACATCATCACAGGACGGGACGAGGGACGCATGGGTGACAAACATGGATACCCTGCTCAGTCTGCGCCGCCGCATGGGAGGACAGTGGGCCACGGCAGTAGCTGACGCCAGCACAAGACAAGCTCCTCTTGTGGTAGATAGATACCTAGCACAGGTAGCAGAGTTGAGAGTCATGATGCAGAGTTGGTGGCAGAGTGAGACCAGGCTGTGGCTAGGGACGTACTAGTTGCCGCCGTGGTCGGCGACAGTTGGAGACTGATCGCTGGAGAAGGCCCAGATGAGGCTGTTGCTCCCCGCCATGCTCACGGGCACCGCGCCGTCGCCAGATGACCGAGAGAACCTGCGGCAATGAGCGGGAAATCACAGAGCAGCGCAACGGAGTGGAGATTTTTAGAAACGCATTTCTGCATGGAATCATCAGCCGTGTGAGTTGAGTCAGCGGTATACTAAAACTGATGGTACCAGCACGCGGACACGACAACACGACTGTTGTGGTACGCAGAAGGCACATCCCCAACGTTGACTTCACGGGCCCACGCAACCTCTAACGGTCAACTCGCAGCGGCGGCGAGTCACGTACTTGATGAGCGAGCCGCCATTGGCGGAGGAGGCGGAGCCGATGGAGAATCGCGGGGTGGGACGCACTTCCGCCTCGCTGTACCCGCCTATGGCGTACGCCTTCACCGCGCCGCCCGGCAGCCCGCCAATCACGGCGTCGGAGCCGGGCATGCTGCCGTCCGGCGACCACGCCACCGCCACCCATCCACCGGCCGCCGCGCCGCCAACCTCCATGGCGAGGGAAAGGCTGCCGCCGCCCGCGCCTTTTGCCCAGTGGAGCACGAGACTGGGCAAGCGGGAAGGGAGGGAAAGCGTGGAAAGGAGAGGGGCGAGCGTCAAAGAAAGGTGAGGGTCAGAGTTGGAGAGCACCGTGCTGTGACAATGGTGCGGTGAGAGTGGGAGTGGGAGGGAGGGGGAAGCGAGGGAGGCCGTACTCGGATCTGGAGAGTGCAACGGACGACGTGTAGCCTGCGATCGACGACGCCGAACACCCTCCGGCCGCTGCGGGAGCCTTCACGGCGACTCCAGTGGCGGTTTTCGCACTAGCTGCGCCGGTTGTTGCAGCAGCCGCCGAGGTCGTCGAGGAGTGCTGCGGCGAGCGCACGACCCTGCCGCGCTCGTACAGCCGTCCCATGGCTCTGGTAGCAGAAGCCGCGCCGGGGAGGCGCCTGGATCGGTGCGGTACGGTCTGTGCACTTGCTGCCAGAAATGTCGGGCGGACGTGCACTTGAAGCAAGAGGAGAAGCAGCGCGGCGGTTAAGAGGGTTCGCGCTGGCACCGCAATCACGGGCGTGAGACTTAAACGACTCGGGCTCATGCTTCGAGGAGTCAGCATCTTGTAAAGAAACAAGTGCTAGGAAAACAAGGAATGTCAATCTACTTCGAGTTCTGAACATATTATTCTTGGACAGACTATTTGTATGTGAATGCGGCTCAGCGGATGCGGTTCCCCTGTCCACACATTTGCGTGTCGGGGTGTGTAGAGGCATCGGGTGTGCAGCTTGAACGTCTCGGTACTTTCTTTGCGGTCTAATTCATTTTGTCGCGGTACAGAGCAGTGCAGCTCACAACCGATTTCTACCGTGTGGAACCGTCAAGGACTGCAAACGATAAGCTGTCCGTCGGACTGAACATTTTCGCCCGACGTCGCACCGTTCTCACCTGCGGCTCGAAGAATGATGGGGACGAAGGTGTAAAGACGCAAGGTCGCTGAAAGTTCATATTTCCGTTGACCATTTCAACACAGTCGTGGCATCGTCGCCACGTTCAACGAAATCCGTCGGAAAGTGGGAAAGCTCGGACATGTTTTTATGTCACCCGATTTTTTATAGAGCAAATATATTTCGTGAGGGTAAACCTTATACCTCTTAATCTTTTGTTTCTGGACAACGTATCAGTATATCTTAACAAACAATTGGGTGATTGTCTCTTTTGCCCACGCACCTAGTTTACCCTCAAAGCGTAGGTACATGTGGGAAAAACATATGGGAGTCAAATTGGGGGATTTTAGGAGGTTAGCTCAGCAACGTCAGTGCCGCTGATGTCTTTGGAAACAAACGACTTGTCTAGCTATTGACTGATCCCCGACGCAACAACGGTCTTCGCTCGTATATGAATATGTCTGTTCAAACTTCCTAAGTGTAAGGATTTTAATTGGCATTCCTTACTGAGCACCTCATTATCACGTACCAAAACCTACCATTCTTTGTTGTCACTGCTAACGATGTTTCGCCGCCTTCGCGCGTCACAATTCCCAAACCATGCATCGCTGGACTGGCCCATATAGCCGTACGTCGGGGTGATGCCGCCATCGCGACCACCCGTCACATGGGTCGCCGTCCACTCCGCTGAGGAGAATGACGTCATCCGCCGACGTCGCCTAGCGAGTTGCCTGCAGTCGTCATCGACCGCAGCCATCGCGCCTGCATCCCGCCGACGTCTTCGTCGGTGGCCCTGATCACTCCACGAGTCGCCCTCGTGCATCCTTTGCTGCCGACGTGGCCACAGCCGTCGACCAGGTTGTCGACGCCGCCTTCGAAGTTCACGGGTCAAGGGGGGGGGGGAGGGGGACGCACTTGTCGAAGCATATGCATGTTCTATATGTGTAGGCTGTAGTGGGGTAGCCAATATGGGGTACAGCCCCTTTTAGGGTTTCATACTTGTACCCAACTCTTCCATAGTTCACTCATTCCTGTCTCTTGATTCTGACATGGTTTCAGAGCAGTAGGTCCGTAGGACCGTTTTTTTTCGGGCCCACCTACCGCTACCCCACGACTGTGACAGTGACTGTGCCTCTGACGTGCTGCGCTGCGCGCGCCGTCTGCCTGCTGCCTACTGTCTGCTGACTGTGCGGTCTGCTGCTGCTTAGAGCGCGCAGACCTAATTCCTGCGCGCGGCTCGTTTTTTGCCCCACGCGTCGCCCACCCTGCCCGAGTCGCGCCTCGGCAGCCCGCGCGCGGCTCGCTGCTGCTTCGCGCGCCGCGTCTGCAGCCCGCGCGGCGCGTTGCAGCCCCGCGCATCGCGACCGCTGCCCGCGCGTCGCGCTGCAGCCCCGCGCGCCGCGACCGCTGCCCGCGCGTCGCGCTGCAGCCCCGCGTGCCGTGCGCGCTGCCCGCGCGTCGCGCTGCAGCCCCGCGCGCCGCGACCGCTGCCCGCGCGCCGCGACCCACCTGCCTCTGACGCGGCCGCGCACTGCTTCTGACGTGGCCGCGCCCTGCCGCCGACGCGACGCCAGCCCTGCAGCTGACGCGGCCCCGACCTGCCGCTGAGGCTGCCCCGCCCTGCAGCTGCCGCGGCCCCGACCTGCCACTGACGCGGCCCCGTCCTGCACCTGCCGCGGCCCTACTCTGCAGCCGCTGCTGCGGCCCCGCCGTCGCTGCCGTCGTGCGCCTACCCTGCCGCCGCCCGCTGAGCGCCGGCCCTGCCCGTCACTGGTGAGCACCTGCCTTGTTCGCGCACTGCCGCGCCCTCTGCCTGCCTGTCTACCTGCCTGCCTGCCTGCCGCGCCTGCCGCGCCTGCCCTGCCCGAGCTGCTGCTGCTACTGTTGCTACTGGCGGTGGCCAGATGCAGCTCCAGCAACGTCCGCGCGAGTCTCTCACGCCTCAGCAGATTCGTGAGTGGTACGCTAGTTGGGGTTGTGGCGGTAGCCGTCGTGGCTATCGCCCTGGAGCTGGTCGGTCGGGAGCGTCTGGCAGTGGCCAGCTGCAGCTGCAGCGGCGTCCGCGCGAGACACTTACGTCCCGGCAGCTTCACGAGTGGTACGCTCAGAGTCGAGGGTCTCGGAGTACCGTTCGCTGCCCGTACGTCCTTCGCACAGGTGATCGGGATGGTCAAGCTTGCGGGACACTTGGTCACACCCAGTCCCGCTGCTTCGCCCGTCTGAGCGACGCCTGGCGTACCGAGTTTGGCGACGAGGCTGAGCTCCCCACCTGGCTGGAGCTGCTTGGGCAGAGGGTAGATATCTTTGCTCTTCACTATGATGCTATTCTCACTGCCATGTATGCATTGCCTACTAGTGATGACCGTGCCTGTTCCCTGTGCGTACCGCCTGACCCAGGTATAGAGGCTGCTGCTCTAGGTGCTAGTGCGTCTCCTGCACTAGGTGCTGGTGAGGCTGCTGCTCTAGGTGCTAGTGCGTCTCCTGCTCTAGGTACTGGTGAGGCTGCTGCTCCAGGTGCTGGTGAGTCTGCTCTCTCTGGTACTGCGCCTGCTGAGGCCGTGTACACCTTCACACTTGACTCAGGTGCTTCCCGCTCCTTCTTTCGCGACAGCACCACACTCACGCCGCTCCGTCGGCCGGTTGCAGTCTCCCTGGCAGACCCCTCTGGGGGTCCAGTCCTTGCGCACTCCTCCACGGTTCTGCCGTGTCCGGCGGTCCCGTCTGGCTCCCTGTCAGGTCTTCACCTCCCCTCGTTCTCTACGAACTTGGTGAGTGGAGCTGACCTACAGGATGTGTGGGTTGACCAGTTCACCCCTGGAGGTCAGCGTGTGACCCACTGTACGTGCTCCTGGACTGGTCGGCACCTGCCCACGTTCACCCGAGAGCCTGGCTCGAGTCTGTACACACTGACCACTGTGTCCCCTCAGGTAGCTGCGTTCGCGTCTGCGTTTGCGTCAGGTCAGCTAGCGGCCCCCTGTTTGTGTCGCGCTTTGTCGCACCAGACCGTCCTGTGGCACCACCGCCTTGGTCACCCCTCGGTGCAGCGCCTTCGTAGCATGCACCGCCGTTTCCTTGTTTCTGGACTTCGAGAGACTCTGCCTCCTCTATCGCCCTTGCCTGCTCCTCCCTGTCTTCCCTGTGTCAAGGGGCGGCAGCGCGCCGCTCCTCACTCCTCCTCATTCCCTCCCACAAAGGCTCCCTTGCAGACTCTCCACCTGGACGTGTGGGGCCCAGCCCGCGTCCAAGGACAGGGCCACGAGCGGTACTTCCTGCTGGTCATCGACGACTACATGCGTTACACCACGGTCTTCCCCTTGATCCCTACTGTTTTGACCCCCTTGATCCGCGCTGTTCGTTTCCAGCTCCGCGAGCGGTTCCAGTCGGACTTTCCTGTCATGCGTCTGCACTCTGACAGAGGTGGTGAGTTCTCCTCAGACCTCTTGGTCTTGTCTTGTTGCTGAGTCTGAGTTTGTCTGTCCTCCGTCCGTCGGGGGTGAGTGTGCTCTTGGCACGGACGTCCTTGAGGACAGGCAGGAGGACCTTGAGTGTCTTGCAGCCGCTGCGCCTCATCTCGTGTCCATGCTGCTTGCCCCTGAGGGAGACCCGGATGCTCCAGACATCCCGACCCCGCGCTCTTACGCTGAGGCGATCGCGGGTGAGTACTCCTCTCAGTGGCAGACAGCCATGGACGCAGAGATGGCATCCTGGAAGTCCACAGGCACCTACGTCGACGAGGTTCCCCCTCCTGGGGCGAACATCGTCAGTGGCATGTGGATTTTCAGGGTGAAGCGGCCGCCTGGTTCTCCGCCTGCCTTCAAGGCGCATTACGTTGCACGAGGTTTCAGTCAGCGAGAGGGAGTAGACTTCTTCCAGACCTTCTCCCCCACCCCGAAGATGATCACTCTTCGGGTGCTGCTGCACGTTGCCGCTCAGCGTGACTACGAGCTTCACTCTCTTGACTTCAGCACAACCTTCTTACAGGGCAGCCTGCACGAGGAGATTTGGCTGCGCCGCCCACCTGGCTTCACTGGGTCGTTCCCTGCTGGTACCCAGTGGAGCCTCACGTGCACAGACCTGGGTGAGCTGACAAACTATCTTGGCTTGCGGATCACCCGGGACAGAGCACGCCGCACCATCACACTGACTCAGTCACACATGGTGCAGCAGGTCCTTCGGCGCTTCGGCTTCACCTGGTCATCGGCACAGCACTCTCCTCTGGCTACAGGTCACTCGCTCTCAGCTCCACCTTCGGACGAGTCCGTAGAGCCGAGTGGTCCTTACCCAGAGCTGGTGGGCTGCCTCATGTACCTGATGACCTGCACTCGTCCTGACCTTGCGTACCCTCTTGGCCTTTTGGCTCGCTACGTGGCTCCTGGTCGGCACCGAAAGGTGCATATGGATGCTGCTAAGAGGGTACTACGCTACTTGTGCAGTACATCGGGCATGGGGCTCGTGCTTGGAGGACGGAGCGACTTTGTCCTCACTGGGCACTCAGACGCTTCTTGGGTTGACGACCAGGCTACGCAGCGGTCGTCACACGGTTACACCTTCAGTCTTGGCTCTGGTTCGGTTTCTTGGCGTTCTACGCACTTGTCTTCAGTTCTCAGCTCCAGTTGTGAGGCTGAGATCTACGCCACAGCCATGGCTGCACAGGAGT